CCTGCCTGTTCTGCTCCCCACTCTATCTCTGCTGAGTCCTCTCACCCCCACACCTCTGGCCTGTACCCCAGTTCTTGTATGCATAAATAAACAAATCTTTTTTAAAAAATAAATAAATTGTGAAACATTAAAAAAATTTCCTCAAAGTCAAGAGCAAGATAAGAATGCATGAGACAGACACAGAGCATTCTGCTTTACTTCTTTATTAACAAAAGTCCCAATTTTGTTAGGGCAAATTTGTTTAGGTTCAATTGAAAGCTACATTTCCCAGACTCCCTTACAGTTAAAAGATGCAATAATTCTGGCCAATGATAAATTAGCAAGTCTACAACTTCTGGGAAAGTTCTTTTCCTTCTTCCTGCCTAGAATGTGGATGAAATGCCTGGCATGGTGGTGGTCATCTGTAAGTACAAGAGTCAAATTCTCAATAACAGTCAAACAGGAACACAATGATCTTAGGACACTGATGACAGAGCAAAGCTGGGCGTCATGTAATATGAGAAAAGTATACCCCTATCACCGGGGTTTTCAGTTACATACAGGTGAGCAGATAAGTTCACTGTGCGGAGTTCACTGTGCAGTACACTTTGACCTCATAGTTAAAGTCACACGTGACATTCAGCAATGCGCCTTCTCCTTACAATTCTTGGAGCAACAGCTCTGTGAGATCAACACTACTTTCACACTAAATATTAAGACATCATTTGCCTTTTTATCTCATTCTCTCATGGGAACTGAGTGAGGTTTTCCAGAGGCTCACACCATAGCAAACTAACTACAGAAGCAAAATGAGAACCTATCATCTTCCATTAATTGAGATATTAAAGAGTGTCTCAAAAATGTGAAAGCAATGCCACTCTCCTGACTTCTTGTTTTGTTTTAGAAAACACAGTTACAGCTCATTAAAATGTTTTTTATGGTAACGTAGTTGACTTACTATTGCAACTTTTAAATGATTTAATAAATATTTTAGACATTTCTCAGTTTTAACTTCCAGTTCAATAAATACCGATACAAGCTCACATAAAAGCCCTTTGGGGTTCTCAATCATTTGTAAGAAACCAGAAAGTGTGAGAATCACTAATCCAGAAAAGCTATCACAATGGCAATACTGTAATAGCAAAGAACTGACATCAGCCTACATGTTCATCAGAAGGAAAAAAAGGGAAACAATGTACCTTTTTATAATACTGTATGGCATTTTAAAGGAATGAGCTAGTTGGCCTCTCTCATGGCCTAGGCGTTGAGTCTCAGTGCTATCACTGAGGCAGTGAGTTCAATCCCCGGGCAGGGAGCTGGCCCACACATGGTGCAGCAGACCTCTCCTGTCTTGCCCACTGCTCCCCTTAGCAGTGTCTTTCGGTGAATCCGCCTATTCTGCTCCCCCACTCTGCCTCTTGTGGGTCCTCTCATCTCCCCCACACCTCTGACCTGCACCTCAGTTCTTCTATGCAAAATTAATTAATTAATTAAGGAATGAGCTAGTGCTATTTGTATGAACTACAGCCAAATTTCATAAATGTTTAAAAGCACCTGCTAAAGGGCCTCCCTGGTGTTAAGATGCAAACAAGGGGTTAAGATGCAAACTATGAAGCTATCTGCAGCCACTGTAGCACAAGTTCGATTCCCAGCCAGGGAGCTACCCACATGGCGCAGCAGACCTCTCCTGACTCGCCTGCTGCTCCCCTCAGCAGTGTATTTCAGTCAATCCTCCTGTTCTGTTCCCTAATCTATCTCTCGTGAATCATCTCACCCCCCTGTACCTCTGGCCTGTACCCCAGTTCTTTTATGCATAAATAAATCTTTAAAAAAAAAAAAGCACCTGCTAAAGATACAATACCAAGTGTATAGCTTTAAAACCTAAAACTCATATATTATTATTTAGTGGTATAGACATACACAGCAAAAGTTATCAAAAAAACATATTGGAATAATAAAAGTAGAAATCAATGTAGAGGTTACCTTTGGGAGGAAGAGAGAGAAGTGGCATGAAGAAAGGAGTAATAGCTTCAGTTGTAAGTGGAATGTTGATTCATAAGTAGATAGTAGAAAAATTGATATTCATTCTACTACTCCTTTAATTATTTATGATTGAAATAAATCATGAATAAAATATAATAACGCTTAATAGACAAAGTGAATCTTAGGAGAAGAGACACCATAGGACCAGAAGGATTGCAAATTAAGGGTGATTTAGTTTTGATTTAGGTTTCAAGACTAGAAAACTGGAAGAATATCTATGCATTAGATCATGTTTATAAAGTCAAATAAAGAAATAGCTTGTTAAAAGGTATGGGGTTGGTGGGCCTCCCCGGTGGCGCAGCGGTTGAACGCTGGGTTGCGAAGCTGCCTGCGGCCTCTGCTGCACCGGTTCGATCCCCGGCTGCTCCCCGGCCATCGGAAGAGGGTCCCACATGGCGCACAGACCTCTCCTGCCGCCCGCTGCTCCCCTCAGCAGTGTACTTCGGTCCTTCTGCCTGCTCTGCTCCCCGCTCTGGCTCTGGTGAATTCTCTCACCCTCCCACGCTTCTGACTGTACCCAGTGCATGTATAAACAAACAAACAAACAAATAAATAAATAAATAAAAACATGCCTCTATAAAAAAAAATTAAAAAAAAAAGGTATGGGGTTGGAATTTAGACACACTGGGCTTGAGAAGTAGAGATGACAATTTTAGGTGTAAATGCAGGGATGGTGTTTGGGAGCTCAAGGCCGGAATATAAGTAGATTTGAGGATGGATGAGATCACCAAAAACAGGTGATATAGGGGACCTCCCTGGTGGCGCAAGGGTTAAGATGCAACCTATGAGGCAATCCGTAGCCACTGCAGCACCAGTTCCATACCCGGCCAGCCAGGGAGCAACCCACATGGCACAGCAGACCTCTCCTTACTCCCACGCTGCTCCCCTCAGCAGTGTACTTTGTTCAATCTGCCTGTTCTGTTCCCCACTCTGTCTCTGGTGAATCCTCTCACCCCCCCAACACCTCTGGCCTACCCCACTCTTGTTTGCAAAAATAAATAAATCTTTAAAAAAAAAAAAATAATATGTGAGGGCCTCCCCGGTGGTGCAGCGGTTGAGCACTGGGTTGCGAAGCTGCCCTCGGCCTCTGCGGCGCCGGTTTGATCCCCGGCTGCTCGCTGGCCACTGGAGGAGGGTCCCGCATGGTGCGCAGACCTCTCCTGCCGCCCACTGCTCCCTCAGCAGTGTATTTCGGTCCTTCTGCCTGCTCTGCTCCCTGATCTGGCTCTGGTGAATTCTCTCACCCTCCCGCGCTTCTGACTGTACCCAGTGCCTGTATATATAAATAAATAAATAAAGAAAGAAAGAAAGAAAGAAAGAAAGAATAAATCTTAAAAAAAAAGTTTAAAAAAAAAGTGATAAAGGGGCCTCCCCGGTGGCGCAGCGGTTGAGCGCTGGGTTGCGAAGCTGCCCGCAACATCTGCTGCGCCGGTTCGATCCCCGGCTGCTCCCCGGCCACTGGAGGAGGGTCCCACATGGCGCGCAGACCTCTCCTGCCGCCCGCTGCTCCCCTCAGCAGTGTACTTCGGTCCTTCTGCCTGCTCTGCTCCCCGCTCTGGCTCTGGTGAATTCTCTCACCCTACCGCGCTTCTGACTGTACCCAGTGCATGTATAAACAAACAAACAAATAAATTAAATAAATAAATAAAACATGCCTCTATTAAAAAAAAAAAAAAAAAGTGATAAAGATGTGGGTGTGAAGAAGATAACCAGAGAGTGCAAAGAAGAGTTTAAGGAACAAAGACACCTCCAAGAGGGAGAGGCTAGGGCAAGATAACAGTGAGTCATTCATTACAAAGACAAAAGAAGGAATGAGAGGCAGGAAGAACATTCAAAGAAAGGTGTATAAAAAGGCTCAAGGAGAATGAGGAATTAGACCACACCACTGGGTTCTAACAGGGCAAGTTCAGCTCAGACAGAGAACTTCCTGAAAGGATGCAGCTCCAGCCAGGAAGCCTATATTAGTTCTACCCCTTTCTGACCACTTCTCTCTCATTCAACTATTCATGCTAACCAGTGCTGACGATTATCTAGCATGTAGGCACTAAGAATACACTAATGAATGTCTCTGTCTTCAGGCTGCTTAAATCATATCAAAGGAGAGAAGTTTTAATCATATATAGAGGTAGTTGTAAAATCACAGCTATGATGAGTGCTAGAAGAGAGGTGCATGGAGCTTTGAGATTGTACAATAAGGAGTTGTCCACGGCCTCCTCCTTTTTGGAGTGTAGATTATACTTTCCTAGGCTGTAGATCCCATAAGACCCCCTTTTTTAACCTAAGATATCTATTTTTTTATATCATCTCCAAGTGCCCAGCATAATGCTTCAAAATAATAATATTTGGGGGGCCTCCCTGGTGGTGCAGGGATTAAAGTCTCAGTGCTATCAAGCTCCACCCTCCCCCACCACAAAGTGAGTTCAACCCTAGACAGGGAGCAAACCCACATGGCACAGCACACTTCTCCTGTCTTGCCCATTGTTCTCCTCAGTAGATCTGCCTGTTCTGCTTCCCACTCCGTCTGTGGTGAATCCTCTCACCGCACCCCCACCTCTGGTGAATCCTCTCACCCTCCCACCTCTGGCCTACACCCCAATTCTTGTATGCATAAATAAATAAATAAATCTTCTAAAAACTAAAATAAAATGCCATCAGTGTTATGGAGCTATGAGTGTTATGAAGCCCAAAAGCAAGCCTTGTACAGGTTAGTTTGGTATCTTTCACTTGCATTCCAAACAATTATCTTGAAAATGCTCTGGATTATTCTCAAAGGGGGAGCGAGCACAAGCCTGGAAAGACTGGTACAAAACATTCTCACCTCTAGAGAGAAAACTCAAAGTGTACAGTTTACCAATAGCAAGCATGTGCTATAATGTTATTTTTGCAAATAAAAGGCAAAACATTCATTATGAGGTAATTGGTCATGACAAAAAAACAGAGTTTAGTGGTAACTGAGAAACAGCCCCACAATTACTTACATCACGAAACTGAACCTTTCCGAGTTCTCCTAATTCACTGACACAACAATAAGCAGCTTCTGACTGGAGAAAAAGCTGAGCCAGCGTCATCTCCTCACTCCGGAAAAGCTCTCCCATGGTGACAGAAAGCACCAGTCCACTTGAGTACCTGGATTTCTCGCCAACCTAAGGCAAAAAGAGAAAATTACATGACCTTGGAAATTACCAAGAGGGCTAAGAACAAACAACATCCTGATGAGTGCATTTCATATTTCCCACCCCATGCTGACAGGTCTCTAACAACTGTTTTGACATTCTGCTTAGAAAGATGGAAAGGAAAAACAGCAAAGGCGTTCCTGAGTCCTCTCCCGCAGAGCGCCTGATGAAAAGCCACTTCCTTTGCAGTCAACACCAGGATCAGATGACGATATTTTGGGACATCCCAATACCTGAGCATGTATCCAGCTTAAAGACAGGAAATGGGAATCCCAAACAGTTCTTTAAATACCCTGACACAACATTATTAGGCAGTGACATCCACACTGCTCTTTTGTGTGCCTTTGTACCAGGAAACAAACAGAAGATACCTTGATTACCCTCTCATAAAGGATGTCTTTACTGCTACTAGTTTTCCATTTCTTTTGTAAAATTAATTTTATTACATCCTTAAATTTTGGACAGTATTTGATTTCTCCCCTCAGGTGTAGTCCCTGTAGTGCTCCCACCACCACAGCACTCGTGACCCGTCACCACAGTCCCTTATGCTCTTCCCTCCCCTGTTTTGAAACCCTCACTCCCTCCCCTGCTGTGTGCCTCAGATCTGTGGTCAGTTTGCAAGGTTTATCTTTTTTTCTGACCCTTTGTTCGGTTTCTCTATATTCCATGTATAAGTGAAACCGTAGATATTTATCTTTTTCCTTCTGACTTCTTTCTCTTAGCATAATCCCTTCCAGCTCCATCCATGTTGCTGCAAAACTCTAAAAATGGATCTACCATATGATCCAGCGATTCCACCCTAGGAATTTACCCAGGGAACACAAAAACACTAATTCAGAAGGAAACTTTCACTCCTATATTTATTGCAGCACTATTTACAATAGCTAAGACATGGAAACAAAAACCCCAAATGCCTCTACTCCATTTCTAACAGCCAGAGTCCCAACAGTACCTTAAAGCTACAGCTACTTTAAAGAGGTCAAGCTTCCAAATGTCTCAGGAAGCACCATTCTCTCTGTAAGGTATACAAACACATAGACATCATCTTAAAAAAAACAAAAACACACCTTGTATATTGAGATTAATTTCAAATCAAGCAAGATAGGAATACATTGAGTATACTGATAATGACAAAGCAGTTTTATCAAGCTATATAAAATTAGCCTTCCGCCTCCACAGCCTTGGGTTTCTTATCCCCACCTTAAAGAGTAATTACATTCTCCCATCTGTCAAAGCTTTTCAAGTATGAGTCATTAAAGGTTTCGCTTTTAGGGAAGTCTGTGTCAGAAAGACAATTGGCGCTATCAGTGGTCCTGAAACTGCAATTATTTGTTCTCAGCTAATGTAAGGCACAGACCGTGCAGCATTTAAACTCAGTAAGAAGTACATATCTTGAGGCAACTATATTGATAAGTGAGACTGACATCAAAGGGAGAGTTTCTCTTGTAAGGTTGCGGGCGACCTTTTGAAAAATTTGAATGACAAAACCTTGGTGCATTTAACGTTTAATGCAGAAAATTAATATACTCAGGCAGAAGCAAAGATTTCTCAAGAGGTGGCTTCCCTGTCTATATCTGAACCATCAAAGAGCTGTAGCCAGCTTCCCACACATCTCCCCTCAACAAGGACAGATTCCACAACCTCTATCAGACATAAAATTACGCCTGATCAGCCTAGTTCAGAGGCTGTCACTAATGATAGCTTTCAGGGAGAGCCCTCCCTCCTTCTGCTCTTTAATGATTACAGGTCTCCCTAGAACATCTCTATCCCCAGGGAGTAAAATAGAAAACTAAAAAGGTCAAAGCGACTGGGGGTGGTCACAAAACAAAATATTCAAAATCATCCGCACCAGTTGAGTCCACAAAGCCCCTCACTCCTGTCATGCAGCGCTCACCTCCTGCCGAGGTGTTCAAGCTCACCTGCTTCAGTTCCCGTCCGCCCGGTTAGAAAGCAGGAATTCTCAGCCCGGGCACACCTCCCTCCCGGAGTGAGGAATAAAAAGGGACATCCTCAAATCAGGAGTCCCTTTAAGGGACCCCCAAATCCTTCTGCCTACCCAATAGTTCCCCCGCCTTCCTTTAAATGGGGGGAGGGTCCAGGGCCCCAAAGAGGAGTGACGCTCCGGTTCCTCTGCCCAAGGTGGGGTGCCCAAGGCGGGGTGAGCCCCCATTTCTTAGAGATCTAAGATCGCTGCTAATTCCTCTGACACGCGACGGGCCTATTAGAAGGATTTCCCGCCCCCATCGGAGGCCGCTCCCTGCCCAGCTGTAAGCTGAGCCCCCCGCCCCCGCTCACCTCCAGGTGCCGGCACGGCCACAGCCAAAGCCGCCGTCGCAGACCAAGCCCGCAGCCTCTGCGGCTCCGGGCGGCAGCGCTTCGACGTGCGTGCGTCTTCAAAGCCCCGCCCCCGCCGGCCTCCGCCCCCGCGATGACCTCACCGCAGCCAGCCAATCGGGTGCGGCCGCGGATCGGCTGCCGCAGTGCGGAGTCCGCAGGGGCGCGGCGAGACTCTGCGTGCAGACGCCATTTTGTTCTTGGCTGCGTTTCCGGGGCCGGCGGCTGGGTGTGTGGGAGCGGCGGTGCAGGTGCCCCAAGCTCTGGGTGCCTGAGCGCTTAAGAAGCCCGGCTCGCTGCCCTTCACCCCCGACGCAGAGCTGCTTCCTCTCTCGATTATCATAGCCAAAGGATCAGTTCATCACTGGTTTACCCAGAAATAACCCAAAAAGGGGACACACGAAATCTCACACACACCCCTCCCTGCTTTGCCCCTTGTTTTACAGAGGATTTTGATTCCCAGAGTGGGGAGCGGCATGCTAAAAATCCTGTAGTGGATCTTTGACCGAGGGCTAGTTCGTTCACTTCACTATGGAAAACCTCTCTTAAAAATAAAACTGCTTGAATCAGCCCTGTCAGCAACTGCCCAGGGTCTACTTTTCGCCAGTTAACAAGGGCGGGGGGAGGGGAACCCATAACACTGTATTGTGAAAGTCAATTTTTACCTTTATCTTGGAGGATTCTTGCGGGCGCATGTGACCACTTAAGGTCTTCATATAACTTATTCAAACTATATGAAAGAACAATTTCATTAGGTACAAAGGTGATAGCTACATATTTATAAAAATGTTTTTCTCTATTGATACCGATTCCCTTGTTCTTTTAAGGACACGTAGAAATCCCAGATTTCTGGGATTTATTATATATTAATAACCAGATCTGTGTGAGGAAAAACTCAGAAAACCGGTTCTTCAGTCTTCGTGGGTGGTGGAGGCCTTTTGAGATTCTCATCTAATGAGGGAGATATTTCAGATAAAAATCTGATTTGAACCGGGCAAAAGCATTGTACAGCAAACCTTCCTAACCAACCTAGACGAAATAATAAAAGGCAAAAATCGACATTTCATTTGTACTTTCCATCTTACATTGTGAGAGAAAACTGGATTTTATCAGGATTTAGTTGAGAAGCACCACGGAGAGAGGCCCAGGCCCTCCCTTTTCCCTGTGATCTTGAGTGCTGCTTAGCTCTCTCAACTTTCCAGGGAAGCAGATGAGGACCAACGTTTGTAATTCTGACAAGCTTTACAAAGCGGTTGCACAATGACTGTCATTTCCTTCCTCTGAGACTTTAAAAAAAAATTCTTTTTAAACCTCAGGGTCAGCTGCTTGCTGACCACAAACTTTTCATACTGCAACTTTAGGACAGCCTTTCATCTGGATGCACCTTAATTCCCTTAAACTTTCTTTTTTTTTTCATGGCTTCCTTGAAAGTATATCCTGTATGAGCTCCCTTTCTGACTCCTTTAATCTCCTGCCATGAATCTTCCTCCGGTGTTCTATTTCTTTTCCTCCCATGCGCTCTTCCTTGGCAGTCCTGCCTTTTGTCAGGTTTAAATGCCTATGTGTGGACTCATATCTTCCTTTTTCAACCACCTCCCTTCCCCAAGGTTTGGTGATGGAATTTCAAGCTTCCTAAATAATGCCATCCAGGCAACAAATGCTATGGACCTGCTCTATGGCAGACATGATAGATGCTGGGCAGAGGAAAATGAAACAGATGTATTACTATCCTAGCCAAGCTCACAGTTCAGTGAAAAATAAATTTTCAATAATGCCTAGAGCGATGAGTGCAATGGCTAGCATGATGTGCCTAGGACTTGTATAAGTACTTTATAAATCTGAACTCATGTATAAATCCTCACAACATTATGGAGACCTATGTTATTGTCCCCATTTAACAGGTGATAGGGGGAATTTGAAGAACAATAACTTGCCCAAGGAAACTCAAGTAGTAAATGGCAGAGCAGGATTCCAGTTCAGCTATGTTGCCCCATTTCCTGTACTCTTAAGTATTGAACTGTTCTCTTTTTGTTAACTGACTTTGGTGGTGGGCATGGTGTGGTAACATCAGAAGAGGTGTAAATTTCTACCCTACACAAATACAATATTGTAAAGCAAGATGGCCACAATACAAAAGATACAATTAAAAATAAAATAAAGCTGCAACTGTTAACTTGGCTGTTGCTGAAGTCAAGTATATGGAGCCCAGGGCTGGGATCTCACTTAAAAGGATGGTTGAGGGTTTCCCCCGTGGCGCAGCGGTTGAGCGCTGGGTTGCGAAGCTGCCAGCAGCCTCTGTAGTGCTGGTTTGATCCCCGGCTGCCAGGCAATGGTCCCACATGGCGCAACAGACCTCTCCTGCTGCCCGCTGCTCCCCTCAGCGTGTACTCGTCAGTCTGCCTGTTCTGCTCTCCGCTCTGGTGAATTCTCTCACCCTCCTGCGCTTCTGACTGTACCCAGTGCCTGTGTAAATAAATAATCTTTAAAAGGATGGTTGACTGGCTTGAGAGAGTGGAAAGTGTCCATCCATCTTTTCATACATCCACTCACTTGTTCATTCATTCAATTTTATTGACCATTTCCAATTTTCCAAGAGCTATACTATGGTTTTGGTTAATATGTTATAGAAAGAGCTGCAGGAACTGCAGATGTACTACCAAAAGAGAAGATTTGAAGGGAACATAATAAAAAGAGTACCTTCTCTGAGTCCAACCTGAATTCAAATCTTGACCTGCCATTTAATATAATCTCAAGATCTGAAGGCCCAAGCTTCCTCATCTGTAAAATAGGGTTAATAATAGTACTTACCAGGCCTCCCTGGTAGCCTAGGGGTTAAGGCTCAGCACTATCACCTCAACAGCTTGCATTGGATCCCCGCCAAGGGAGCTGACCCACATGGCACAGCAGATTCCATGTCCTCTCCCACTGCTCCCTCAGCAGTGTATTTCAGTAGATCCACCTGTTCTGCTCCCCACTCTGTCTCTGGTGACTCCTCTCACCCCACCCCAGCACCTCTGGTCTACACCCCAGTTCTCGTATACATAAATAAATCTTTTTTTTTTAAGATTTATTTATTTATTTATACAAGCACTGGGTATAGTCAGAAGTGCAGGAGGATGAGAGAATTCACCAGAGCTCGCGGGGAACAGAACAGGCACCCTGACGAAATACACTGCTGAGGGGAGCAGCGGGCGCAGCAGAAGAGGTCTGTTACCCATGTGGGACCCTCGCTGGTGGCCGGGGATCGAACGGGTGCTGCAGAGGCTGCTGACAGCTCTGCAGCCCAGCGCTCAACCACTGCACCACCAGGGGAGGCCCATAAATAAATCTTTTAAAAAAAATAAATAAAGTGTAGGGCCTCCCTTGGGGCACAGTGGTTGAGCGCTGGGTTGCGAAGCTGCCCGCAGCCTCTGCAGCGCTGGTTTGATCCCCGGCTGCTCCCCAGTCACCGGAGGAGGGTCCCGCATGGCACGCAGACCTCTCCTGCCGCCCGCTGCTCCCCTCAGCAGTGTACTTCGGTCCTTCTGCCTGCTCTGCTCCCCGCTCTGGTGAATTCTCTCACCTTCCCGCACTTCTGACTATACCCAATGCTTGTATAAAATAAATAAATAAATCTTTAAAAATAGATAAATAAATAAAGTGTAGCAGTTTGTACCAGACATTTTTCTATTACTCAGCTATGAACTCCTTTTGTCCCGTAGTATTGGGCCTGCTCACTGAATAGTAAGTAGCATTTCCCCCACCCCTTTTTTTTTTTACAGCAGCACTTCATTTTCCTTACAAAAGCTGCATTGCTGGGACCTAATGTTCTGATATAAGAGTAGAAAAACAAAATGTATTGTTAACTTTTAAAGAATTGAGAATTGCATACCAAAAACAAACAAACAAAAAACCTTACCTGAATTATAAGGATGGTTGAGTTTATAGGTGTGGACACAAGCTGTTTTTCAACTCAAGGCAAATAATAACCCATTGGGTTCTGGCAAGAAAACATCGGTAAAAAAGGAAAGTGGGTCCCAAGGCCTGGACCTTCCCACCCTATCAGAGCAGTGAGACAGAAATGACAACTGGTTGGGAGGATTCTTGCCAGCCATGAGGAAATCCTAGAACAGGAAGCTTCGCGTTAATACTCTGCGTAGATCAAGGAAGTGGTGACCATGAAGATTCTCCCTCTGCCAGTGATTTCTCCTCCACACACGTCATCTCAGCCATGAAATGACGGAGCCACAGGGAGTAGGTGTTTGTTTGTTTATTCAGCTAAGGCAGCAGAAGGGATGATTTATTGTACACGTGCCACAGTCAGGCACAGCTGAGAACAGAATCAGTCCAGAAAGTCACAGGCCCAGGGCAAAGGATCAAAAAGGACTGCTCTGGGGCCTCCCTGATGGCACAAGGGGTTAAGACGCAACCTATGAAGCTATCTGCAGCCACTGCAGCACAAGTTTGAGCCCCAGCCAGGGAGCTATCCACATGGCACAGCAGATCTCTCTTGACTCACCCGCTGTTCCCCTCAGCAGTGTATTTCAGTTGATCTGCCCGTTCTGCTCCCCACTGTCTCTGGTGAATCCTCTCACCCCACCCCAGCACTTCTGGTCTATACCCCAGTTCTTCTATGCATAAATAAATCTTTTTTTTTTTAATTTTTAAATTTTTAAAATTTTTTTATTTTTATTATTTTATTTTATTTATTTTATTTTTTTATAGAGGCATGTTTTATTTATTTATTTGTTTGTTTGTTTGTTTATACATGCACTGGGTACAGTCAGGAGTGCAGGAGGGTGAGAGAATTCACCAGAGCCAGAGCAGGGAGCAGAGCAGGCAGAAGGACCGAGGTACACTGCTGAGGGGAGCAGCGGGCGGCAGGAGAGGTCTGCGCGCCATGTGGGACCCTCCTCCAGTGGCCGGGGAGCAGCCGGGGATCGAACCGGCGCCGCAGAGGCCGCGGGCAGCTTCACAACCCAGCGCTCAACCTCTGCGCCACCGGGGAGGCCCCAATAAATAAATCTTAAAAAAAAAAAAGACTGCTCTGATAGGAGCAAGGTGTGT